CCATCGAATGCACCGTGCTGCAGGACACCCTTCCACCAGGAACATGATCCGCTTGGTGAAAGATGCTCAACTGGAGCCATGGAAGATCAACCTCACCAAGAACTTCAAGTGTCCCATTTGCAGCGAAATGCAACCTGGAGGAGTGTCATCCAAACAGGTACCTCCTGGATCCATGCACCCAGCTCCTCAAGCCTGGGAGCAGATTGGTGTTGATGTTGGAGAGTGGACAGTCCCCAATGTCGATTTGAAGGTGAAATTCATCCTGTTCATCGACCTGGCCACTCGGTACCGTGTCACAGAGACCCTCTTCACCTACAAGCATGGAGAACTGCGAGTGGAAAACAGCGACATGGTCATCAAGACCCTGACCACACGATGGCTGATGGACAAACCTCGACCCAAGTACTTGGTGGCCGACAACGCCAAGACGCTGACATCACAGAAGGTCATGGAATTCCTGGCTGACCTTGGCATCGAGACCTACTTTCCACCTGATGGGGAATCATGGGCACATGGAATCACCGAACGTGCCATCCAGCAGGTCAAAGAGACGGCCAGCCTACTTCAACAAGATCTTCCTGACCAAGATCCAGTTCTGTCCATTGCCATGGCAACCAGTGCTCTCAACAACACCGAGTACCAAAAGGGATTCACGAGCATCCAATGGGCATTTGGCAAGCAACATCAACTTGATGATGATGAACTTCGACAACAGCTATCGCTGCCCATTGACCGCCAACAACATGAATTCCTACGACTGATGAACCAAAGGCAGCTTGCAGAAGATCATGCCCGGAAATCCCGTGCCCGGGTGGTGTTGTCAAAATTGAAGAACTCTTCCATCCGGCAGCCGATTCGGACCTTCTCCATGGCCCAGCCAGTCTACATCTGGCGGAAGTTCCTCCCGCACACCATCTACGCTGGTCGCAAAGGAGGACATCGCTTCGTTGGAAGACCAAGATGGGTGGGTCCTGGGAGAGTTGTGTTCCACGAGCTCTTGCCCGGACGTGAAGAACAAGATCGACAACACATCGTATGGGTGATCTTGGGCAACAGGATCTACAAGACATCAGTCCACTCCGTAAGACCTCTCTCCGAGAAAGAGCAGGAGATCTTCGAAGCTCAGGGAGACAATTCCCACCTTGGAAGCAATTGAGTGATGTGATTCCTCGCCGAGAGTTCATCGACATCACAGGCGAGATCCCTGGTCCAGATGAAGTTGAAGAACCAGTGCTTCCAGAAGATCCAAACGAGTCAACGGTCATCAAGCCCAAGGTGCGCTTCACAGAGAAAGGTCATCCATCTGATGAAGGCTATCCGCCAAACTATGTACCTCTTCCACCACCTGCACCGGATCCTGAGGACTCCGAGCTGGTGAATGAGTACCTTCCGGATGCCAAGCGTGCCAAGCTCGACACCGAGGACACTGAGGACAACGAGGAGAAGATCCCGAGTCCTGAGCCACTTCCTGGCTCAAGAAGAGCTTCAACATCCTCCAAGACTCCACTGCTGGAGGAATCGAAGGAAGATAAAGACAAGCCTGAAGAAGGTGTGATTGATGACACCCCTGTTCCTGAGCCTGATGTCAAAAAGGCTCGCACTGATGAAGACTCCGATCCTGACCAAGAGGATTTGGCTATCCACTTGGACCTCAACCAGGCCATCCTCGACATCGGAGAGGGCTATGTCATGAACATCGACCTCGACTTCAGCAGCAATCGCCAAAAGAAGCAATTTGAAAAGGATCCCATCGCCTACCTGGCCAAGAAGGTCAATGGAGCTGAAGTCAACTACAAAAGACTATCTCCTGAAGAACGTCAACTGTTCGAGAATGCGAAGGGTGGTGAAGTCTCAAGCTTCGTGAAGACCATCGCTGTCAGACGCTGCTTGGACTATGAGGAATCCCAACGGGCCCGACAATCTGGTCGAGTGCTACGTGCACGATGGGTCCTGGTTTGGAAAGATGTTCCTGAAGAGGAGAAGGAAAAGGCCTTAGAAGATCGTCAAAACAACCCATTGACGGTCTACAACAAGGACGCCACCAAGAAGGCCAAAGCCCGCATCGTACTTCTTGGATTCCAACACCCTGACCTCGAACTTCCAGAATTTCGCACCACATCCCCTGTCCAGAGTCAGCTCATGAAGCACCTCAGCCTCTTTCTGGCGGCTCAAAAGAAATGGTCACTGGAATCCCTGGACATGAAGACCGCCTTCTTGCAGACAGGTGCTGATGACATGGAGCAGAAGGAGCTATGGACTCCGGGCGTGCCGGAACTTCGAAAAGCTTTGGGCGCAGAAGATCATGAAGTCCTGAGGATCTTGCGCAACATCTACGGCAACGCCACCGCTCCTAGAGGACTATGGGAGGACGTGGACAAGAAGCTGGTCAGCCTGGGAGGACACAAGTTGATTGGTGACAACTCCTTCTGGGTATGGACGGAGAAGAATGAAAATCCCCGCAATGCCGCGGACGCTCATCGAGTGATCGGCTTCATGGGAGGCCACGTGGACGACTTCCAGAGGGCCGGTGACTTGGACAACCCCACCTGGCTTGAAGTTCGCAAGAAGATCGATGAAGCCTACCGCTGGGGAACAAAGAAAGAGAATTCATTCCGCCTCACTGGAGTGGATCTCACCGTCCATGATCGAGGGCAGGAGCATTGGATTGAAATGAACCAAGATTTCTACTTGGAAACCATCCCGGAGGTGGCCATCCCTGGTCATCGACTTCGTGAAGCTCCTTCCACGCCTTTGACTGCCGACGAGGTGGCAGCATGCAGGGCAGCTCTTGGAGCCCTCCAGTGGGTATCTTCACAGACCCAGATCCAGGCATGCGCCCGAGTGAACTTGCTCCTGACCGAATTGACGGTCAACAAGAACATGCAGGTGGCCAAGGAGATCAATGACCTGATCAAGGAGATCCGAAGCAATCCCATGGTGATCAACATCCACCGCTTGCCACAGGTCCAACACTGGCAGGATTGCGTGATCGTGACACTTGCCGATCAGGCATGGGGAAACCGGCCACAAGGTGGATCTACAGGAGGAATTGTGACCTGCATCGGTGGCCCTGAGATGATGTTGGGAGAGGCAGGACGCCTCAATCCCATTGCTTGGAAAACATGGCGTTTGAAACGCAAAGCCATCAGCACAAATGATGGTGAAATCCAGGCGACCTTAGAGGGCGAGGACCAGCTGTTCCGCACGAGATGGATGTGGTGCCAGCTCAACGGTTGTTGCGCCATCGAGGACATCGACATCCTCCAGAAGGCCAACGAAATGGTGAAATGGGTGGGCGGAATCTTGGCTATAGATTCCAAAGGAGCCTTCGACGCCATCAACAAAAGCGAAGGACCGCTTCTTGGCTTGTCGAACATGCGAAGTGCTCTTCAAGGATACCAACTGAAGGAGCAGATCGTCGCCTCAGCTGGAAAATTGATATGGGTAAGTGGAGATTGGAATTTGGCCGATGCTCTGACGAAAAAGCATCGATCCTCTCGAGAAGGCCTCCAGCAGTTCATCAAGAGCCAGATTTGGAAGCTTCGCTATGACCCTGGCTTCGTATGCTCCGAGAAGAAAGCCCGCCGCCAAGGATTGGAAGCAGTTCGCCAAATGAAGCAGCTGCAGAGCCTGATCCCTTTTGCCGGTCCTGACTCGAGAAAACTTTGGAACTGGTGCGATGAAACCGGTGCGATCGAGTCATGACGGCATGTGGCATGAGAACCACTTGTTCCCGAAGGCCTTGAGCCTACGGCTCGCCCAAGCGAAAAGGTCCGCTGCCGCACCAGCGCGGCACTTGTGTTTTGTCCGGCTTGCCCATAAGCTGGGCATCTTGTGTTTTCGTTCGAAGCCATCTACATCCTAGTGTTTGTGATTGGCATCACCCACTACCCATAGGGGGTTGGCACTCTAGCTACCGCATGTCCCTGATCTGCATTGGACACCCACGACTCGTAGGTCCAGGTAGGTGCTGAACACTCTCGGTTTGCGTGGACTGCCAGGTTTGGGTGGACTGGAGTCGTTGACACGGCAGTCAAGCTCCGAGCCGCTCAACATCGAGTTGCGGACGTCCTTTGGTCTTCCAGAGGTTTCCATAAGACCACTGGTTCACAGCATCGGCGGCCTCCCAGAATGTATGGTGGGTGACCACCATGTCATTCCTGTAGATTCTTTGCAGTTTGTAGTTCCCCGGTGAAAACCCTGGATTAAACCGATGCTCCCGAACCACTCCACCCCACCGCGGCCTCCGCTCTTCCCCACCCTTCAGGCGGCCTCCGCTCCCTCAGACGCCGCAAAGAAAAGGGGCCGCGGCAGGGGCGTCGTCGTGTGACGGTCGCCTGGGCACGACCGTAGAGAGGGACCGACCACGACCGACGAAAGGGATCGGAGCGACCTATACGTGGTTTCAGAGGTTCACTGGCACCCCCAAGATGTCTTGAAAGAATCCATATAAACCACCGACCTTGGGGATTGTGCCATCTTTCAATGGACTGTATGCGAGTTTGACCTACGAATCAGAACGGGTTGCAGAGAACATGCCAATGAGTTCCCATGGTGTTACGGGCTTGACCCCGAAAATCTGCTGAGATCCTTGGCTGCAATGAAGTACAAGATCCTGCTGAGGGTTGGTCGCCGCCCGGCCATGAAAAGCCTTCAACCACTCACACCCAGACCTTTTCCACCTATACACGGAGCATCTTCAACACTCAGCCAGGAGTTGATGAACGTGACCTGACCCATTGAAGATGTTATTCAGTGTGCCATGATGTGGTTATGTGGTGGATTAGTCAATGAAGCCGAGGACTCTGTGTGTGATTGGAGATGTTTAGAGCACAAATCGACGTCTCAGGGGCTATGCCATCACTACGTGCGGGTGGAGGCCGTCGCGCCAAGCGGCGTCACGACCCCGCCGATCTCCGCCGACTCCGCCGGGCTCAAGCGCAGAGTTGGGCACCGCGAAGCACCCGCCGCGCAACCGGATTCCTCGTGTTCGGCCACGGATGGCGCCCAAGAGGAAGGCGTTTGGGGGCCCAGGTCGGGCGTTGGAAGAATCCCCTGAACTCACCTTTGCCCAGACTGAGTCATGAAGGAGGTTTTTCCCTCACTTGAGGAGAGATGTGAGGGAAAAATATAGAACAATTGCTCTGACTATTTGCCACCCAGAATCCAAGTACCAATGATGCTGCTCCCGCAGGTGTTGTGGGAAGACGAATTTCCCTCAGGTGGAAGCGACGTGAGTTTCGGGGGAGTGCATTTGGGTGCAAAGGAGCCAATAATGAAGCTCCAACAGGAATGGACTGATGTATTTGGATGTTTGTATGTCGGAGTTTGGTAGTGGCCAACATGAACACTGAACATTTTTATGTCAAGAGCCCCAATTCTATTTGGTTTTTTAACGGAGACCTGTGCCCGTGCTTTCTTGTGAGACCTGGCTTCAGCGGGTGCTGAACGCTCACACGAGACCTTGTGACGCCGGGCTTGCGGCTTGCCTGCGGCTTGCGGCTTGCTGAGGCCCGAAGAGCAAAAGATCGCACGGGGGCTGAGATTGAACCGGATGAACACCTTGGGCGAAACCGTTGGGAAACCGTGGTCAGCCGTCGTACTCTTGCTCCTTTGTCTATACCCTTGCTTGCCGAAAAGGCGCCGTGAAGTCTGCGCCTTGCCTCGGCCGTGGCCGGCCTTGAGGCCACCGTCTTGAAGAAACTGCACGTGACGCAACAAAGCCGCTGGTCGACGCGTCTTTTTTGGGAGGAGGGATGGGATCTACCAGGGCCCCGAAAAGGTGGTTGATATGCCTAGGGCTCCAACCATATCCTCAGAAGGTGGTTAGACCCCCAAAACCCACCCCAACCATCTTCTCAGGAGGTAGTTGGAGCCCTAGGATGGTGTTTTAGACGCATCCCTGGCAGCCATGCAGTCTTAACAGGGAAGACTCTGAGACGATTCACTCGCAACTTTTCAACCATTGGTCTGGGGATGTCTGGGGGTACCCTCATAAGTTAATACTGTATCTCATAATAATAGATGCCCACTGGGGCTAGGGGACCCTGGTTTGGTTTTCCTTGATGGTTAACTAAAGAATTCAGTTGGACAAAGAGGCTTTTCAGGATATGGCCGGTCGAGTTCGTGTTTGGAGCTTCGCGGGAATCGGAAAAACAGCTAGCCACCTGTGGAGAAATCTTCAGTCGAGTTGCGTGGCCTGTTCCGCATCCGACAGGTTTGGACCATACTTGTTGTAGAGTTGCCCGAAGATATGGATAGACACCCGCAGCAATGGCATAGTCAACATGGTTCAAACTGTTTTGGGTCTGCATGTGTTTGCAGGTAGATGGCGAATCAGCCGTTCACGCAACACCTGGAAAAGCCATACCCAGGTATGTTCCAACCAGGTGCTACTATGTGCTACTTAGAAACTAGTGAGAGTGGAACGTGCAGGATGGAACGTGTATATAAAGGGGTCATGAAATCCTCCAGTGGAGCCTTGACGGCCCAATGGATCCGATCCGCCAGGTGGGGGGGTACGGGCTGACGATGAGCTGACGTCGTTTCATGGCAGACCGGCATGCTACTGGATGAGGCTAGCGTGTGCACAGGAACATCGGACCAAGCCACGAACTCGTGCACCCAGAATTGGAGACAGATCGATTGGTGCAAGTAGATGCCACACATCCATTCTCCTAGAACCTGAGTGATTCTTGAGGTTGATTTCTCTATCCAAAGCAGGGATCAATCAAATCTGTTCTAGGCCAGGGCCACCTGAGTGGCCATTTGTTGCACAACTGAGGCTTCAAGCTCTTGTCGGAGGCCTTGCATCATCCCCTCAGCGACCTCCCCGAGGAAGTCCGTGGGAGAAGTCCGTGGGTGTTCTCACCGGCCGGACTGGTAAACCCATCCCGAAGCCTGGTCCTGAAAGAGAAGTTCTAAACATATCAGACATATCACATCATAGTCCTTGTTACTAGTAGCTTCTTGTTCCTAGTAGCGATGGCCTCACCTAGTAGCGATGGCCTCCACCGAGTAGCGTCCTTGTTCCCGGTCATATCACCATTTCGTTTGTCATACTTATACTGGCATGGCTTAATTGAACCAATTGGGGTACCATTATGGTACCATCCAACCCCGACGGAGGAGGGGTCACAAGAGGTCAACACCTGCGGGTTCACGGGTTTTTGTTTTTTGACGTCCATATTGATTTGGGGCACTATCAAGGCGTGTCACAAATACTATACATCACATACATGTGGATAGATAGATGATAGATAGATAGATAGATAGATAGATAGATAGATAGATAGATAGATAGATAGATAGATAGGTAGATAAATATGCATGAATTTAACCGTGCACACGCACCGCAGTCCCACGTGTCTTCTTCAGGACTGTCGTCAGATGCTGCTGGCTGGGCTACCCTTCAGCGTTTGTGTGTTTCAAGATGAGCGCCGGGTGCCTCTGGACGAGCGCCGTTTGGTCGACCCGGATGGGCGGCGGGCGGCGGTGGGAAGCCGCTTCGCCGCAGAAACGCCGCACCGTGAGGAACGGCGTGTGTGAAACCACGCCGATAAGGCGTGTAGGAACTGAGCTCAGCCTGCAGCCCGCAGGTGAAATGCTTCTCTCGCCGTTCGTCTGAATTTCATCGATTCCATGGACCCTGGTGTCGACGATTCCATGGACCCTGAGTACACCACGTCGCTTGGTAAGAGGAAAACCATCAGACCCAGGATACCAGGCAGGACCCGGGTCTATGTGAGTTCACTCGGGAGTGTAATCGGTCAATTCTACTTGATCAGATTGATCAGTGAAGCTTTATGATCCCTGCGATCCCGAAGCTCGGACTCGGGATGGGCATCGGACATCCCATGGCGGCCCATCGGACATCTCATTGAAGCGACTGTTCGTAGAAGAGTTGGAGCTATCTAGTAAACAATCATATCCCTGGCCCTCTCCTTACAGTTTGTGGTCCTTGTCGAGGGATTTCTTCCAAGCAAACAGTAGCCGTTCCGCGTGATTAGGTCTTTCATTTGGCCTGTTGGGGGAGAGAACCAAAAACAATCCCTGGTTTCAAGCTCCAAAGCCACCCCTGCACGGCATCTTGACAGGGTCTGCCGGGTCTGCAAGCGTTGTGCCTAGCTTGGGTCACCGGCATACCCCATTTGAAGTCGATCAATGTTACCTTGCCACCTTTCGTGTAGAAAACCAGCTCCTTGGCTGGTCTGAACTGGACTGGGTGTTCATGAGCTTCTGAAGCAAGACACAGAGATCCTGAGAGTCCAAACGATTCCTTTTTTCTGGTGGACTATGATACCCTGGAGTAAAATGAGTCATCGGAAGTTCTGGGAGAACAAGCATCAAAAGTTTATCAACAGTGAGAAGTCAAAACGCCGCGCCTCCGTCCTCCGTGGTCAGTCACAGCCCGTAGAAGACGACCGTACAGCCAGTGTTTTGCCGAACTCGTTGCCATGACGGTGCAGATGCAAGTGCTCGACTCTAGTGAGCTGGCAGGCGAGGCAGACTCTGGCGTTTGGATTCCCAGGTTCTTGTGGTCCGTTTTTTCAGGTAGCACCCTGCACTGCACACTGTTTGTTAGATGAGTGGGCCTGGCTTGGACCATTGTTTGCTCACATGTCACCCATCAAGATCCGTCCCCACTCCCACACACACACGTACACGTACAGACGACCACACTTGCGCGCCTGTTAGGACTGGGATCTGGTGGATGTACCTGGGAACGCTCGGGCTTCACGGCTGGTAGGCCCCCGCAAAAAACCAGGCAGTGGCTGTGTTTCGACCACCTTTGGTCTGCAACGGGCGGAACGGCAACCTGTTGACCAATGGTTCTATACAATGAAAGAACCCTCGAACTGCTGCACGGAGTTTTAGGCTGTGGAAATTGCGAGTGAAATTGCGTTCTTTTTGGAACCTGGTTCCCTACATGTAACACCAATACTGTAGGTATATGGTATTTGGCATCGGCCCGTCCATTGCTGCCCAAACATGGGGAACCAGGTGAACCGCACATGGTCACATCCCGATTTCTCAGAGGCAAAGTCTGGTACAGCATCAGAGTGGTCGATGGGCAACAGGCCGGGATCTCTGCATGTGCAGAAGAGAGTCTGAGGGTCTTGCCTTCACCGAATCGAAACCTCTTGCTCTGGCATGTTTCCTCTTTTTTCTTATGGGGGCGAGTGCAAAACCAAGGCTACATTCAACCCTTAGTTGAAAGTTGCATGGTCTCCCCCTCTGGGTGGCCTGGAAGTGTAATAGCCTGCCCGTAATGCTCTACGCGGATGGTGGATTTCATGGAGCAACCCTTTGATATGAGGTTGGGTCTCAAATCATGCATGTTCTCTTTTTTGATATAAAACTGTGTCGAGCTTTGGGCAGGTTTGGGTGCACAGTCTTCATTACATTTGGTACACTGTCCATTTTGGCTCAAGCCAAAAGTGGGACAGTGGAGTTTCTGTTCTGCTAATTTTTGCTGTGTGTGCTGTGGATGACTTCACAGCCTATCGTCGGTGTGCATGTCGCCATGTTCACGGCTGCTGAGGTGCTTTCGTCCGCCGCGTTCATCGAGTTCCGTCGCCAGGTCGATGCCCTTTTGGCCCGGGGGGACCGGGCAGGCGCGATGCGGCACTGGAGCTCGGTGGCTCTATTCGAACACATGCCTCCGTCTTCACGCCCGGGGGACGGGCCAGCTGGTTTCCCCCCTATGCGGATCTCAGTTTGTCCTAAGAGTGCCTGCCTGCGGTGCGATCAGGGGCGAGGGGGCTATGTTTTCCCGTGGGTCGGGATTTGGAACCGGCGCGGGACGATCGTGCCACCAGGGTTCACTCCTCAGCAGGCCTGGGATAGGCATGCTCGGTTGGACGCCAACATGGACCTCCTTTTGTTGCAGCCCTACCGTACCCCGTACTCTGCGGAGAATTTTGTGCCCTCCTACCTGTGGGAGTTCCAGCAGAAGGTTCCTGGGGACTTCGACCTCTTGCCCCTGCAAACCTTTCAATCTGAAGTCCTCTATTACATGCGGCACTGGATCATGGGATCACCACATGGGTTGTGGTCCAACCCCTTTCGTGCCCCACTGCCAGATATTGAGCCTTTGCCGCGCCACCTGGAAGCTCTTCACCCGAAGATTCGTGCCCATCGAGCCCTTCGTGGATGGTTGGGGTCCTCAATCAACGGAGAGTCGGAGTTTCCTCCAGCGTGTTGCGGCTGTGGTGATCCCACTTATCGGCAGTGCCTTGGTTGTATCAAAGGAGTGTGTTCCGCCTGTTTCCCAGTGCTCCAAATCTGTCCGGTTTGCCGCGAACTTTCGTCGTCTGATGACGATAGTGGGTAGTTCAGCGGGTGCGCAAGCCATGGTGTACCGTGCGCAAGTTGCTGGAGCGGTGGACGCTCCGCCGGACGAACCGGCTTCGTCCTCTGGCTGGCGGGCCGAAGACAGCCTTGCTCGGGTGGCAGGGGCCCGTGCCATCACATGGCGCCGTGAACGGGGCTATGAGAAAGATGAGGATTTCGCCTTTGCCTTCTCTACTTGGGAGGAAGCTGTGGCCGTGGGAGGCCATTTCTTGGCGGATGCTTGGCTGGCAGTCCGGGTTGCCCAGCAGGATGAACTTCTTCCAGCAACAGCTCGTTTGCTTGAGGGGGGACCTCTGCTGCCGGATACACGTCCTCCACTGGCTCGCAAGCGGAAGGAAGTTCCACTTGAGGCGGGGGTACGCCTTCATGAACGGGTGCAGGATCAACCCGAGTCCATACAGCGCCAAGTGTTGGCCCTGCAGAAGGTGTTCCTGACCGTCGGGGCATTGAAGCCGGTTGGCCTGTTGACTGAGGCCCTGAAGCGGGATTGGCAGGCATCCGTCCTTCGCTTGGCCCAGACCAAAGTGGCGGAGTCTGAGTCGGTGACGATTCAGAATGCTCTTCGCACCTATGGGGAGCTCCACGCCTTTTTGCTCCACCGCGGGAGGTCGTTCCCTCCGGATTTCGTGGACATGGACAACTTCCTGCATCAGGGGACGATGGCTCCCACCCGCGCGCTCAATGCGCTTCGTTGGTTGTGCAAGCATTCTGGAGCTCCTTGGGAAGTGGCTCGGCTTCGTATCTCTCCTGAGCTGAAGAAGAAGGCCACTTCTACGAAGAGCCAAGCCCTTGTTGTGGAGCCCGGCATGCTGCAGCTGTTGGAGGAGCGCATTGAGAGCATGTGCCGTGGGGGGGACCCACGTTGGACATGTCTCCTCGGCTCTTGGCTGGTGGCTACTGGTTGCTTGCGATACCAGCATCTTCGCCGATCAGCCGTTCGTCGCATCAGCCCACTAGTGTTTCATGGCCACTGTCGCAAAGGCAAGCAGCGTCATGCTCGTGGCGGCTTTGATTGGTGTGCTCCAGCCGAGTTTGCATCAACCTTCAATTGGACTGTGGAGTGGCTCAAAGCCTGGAAGGCTCTCTCTCCGGTGGCCCAGAAGAGTGCAGGGATCTGCTTCGACGGGCGTGGGACGCCTTGGAACATCGCTGAGGTTCAGCACGTCTATCTTTGCCGAGTTTCTGGACAATACAGAGCAGTTGACCACCTACTCTTGGCGACGAATGCTTCCCACAGTGGGCCATATTTTGAACTTGTCGTCGTCTGACCTTTGCTCCCTCGGTGATTGGCAGGACAAATCAAAAGAGCCGGCTGAAGCAGGGATGGCATTGCACTATTCGCCAGCTCGGTATGCCCAGTCGCTTCGTAACAAGATCTTGACCACTTCAGTGGCCCACAGCTGTGAGGGTCACAGCTTTTGGGAGGAGGTGCTTCCTGCCGATTTGGATGGTTTCCGCGAAGTGGCCAAAGACGCGCTTGCAATGGCCATCGCGAAGGACAAGGAGACGCGGTACGCCGCTCAGCCAACCAAGGAGTCGCTGAAGACGCACCTCCAATTCTCCCGGGCCCGAGTCGCTAAGGCAGCGGCAAACAAAATTCGAGGAAGCACCTCGCGCCAGACGGTATCCATGCCGAATGCCATCCGAGGCCGCGTGTTGACGGCTTTCTTGAAGAATGGGCGTCGCCTTTGCGGGGCTTTCCAGACGCCCGAGGGGTGCACGGAGGGAGAGGAGGTTTGCGGGAACGCTCACATCTGCGCTGTCCTTTTGGCCCGGGGGGGGGCTTGTGGCGGGAGCCACGGTGCGTTTATTTGCACCGAAAAGAAGTACTTGCCCGGCCGAGACGCCAGTTCCAGTTCGGGCGGCGGCGACATCGGCTCCTTCTACTACGTCCTCAAAGGCCAAACCCTCCTCGAGAGCCAAACGCCGGCGAGCGGAATCGCCCCAGCCGAGTGCTCGGCCTGATGCAGCAGAGGCCCTCTCTCCAAGGCCCAAGACGCCTCCGAAGGCACCTCCACACAAGGCGGTTCCGCCTAAGCTGATTGCAACGTCGGCCAAGAAGAAGCCGCGAGGTCCGAGGGATCCCTCACCTCCACCGCTGGCCAGGACGCCTTCTTGGAGACAGTCTTCAGAACCAGCACCGAGCACCCTGCCCATTCCAGCCGTGTCGCCAGGACCTCAGCAATCTCACTGGGACCGGTTGGCCACTTCGGAAGGGCGTGACACTCTCGCCCCAACCTTGATCATGACGACTCGGTCAGGTGGCCAGCTGTGGCTCTCCGGCATTCCTATTGCTGAGACGGTGCAACACTTCCCGAAGGCTCACCTCCAGATCGCTTGCCTACCACAATACCCCGAGGGCCGGGGGGG